ACAGTGCATATTCAGATAAGCCCGTTCTGGATCATATATCTGACATGTCATTGAATCTGTCATGTCTTGCTGGGAGTTACAGGGAAACCTAGGATAAGAAGGATAAAGATTATTTCCTTTCTACACAGTGTCTTTTTCACTTCAGTTGATCCAAGATTTATTAAAGGATCTTGCGTTCATGCGGCGCGTTTCAGGCAAAACTGACCTGCTATGCTAAGCTTTCCTTTAATTGGAGAGTTATCTGAGCAGCATATCTTGATTTACAGCTCGTTTGTATTAAGGAGATGTTGTTACTCTGAGCTGCAATTTGCAAACCAGTAGATAAACCAATATGCCACTACAGTACTAGTCCTGTAGAAGAGGCCAGTAAGAAAAAAAGAATAAGATGCTAAAAAGCATCAACCTGATGTTCTTACTGACCACCCATGCAACATCTCTTCTTCTTGTTCAAGTGCCCTCTTAGGAGTTGACATTAGCACAAAATCTAATACAGTTTTGGATTATCTTAGTTCTTGAACTGGGAGAAACTTGGTGAAAACTACAAATCTGAAGATATGGAAGCTTTTAGAAGAGTATTCAGGTTAGAAAAGACCTTCAGTGTGACTGGTTATTATCCACGCAGCAATAAAAAGCCGGAAACAGAGTCCACAACACAGAAGTTTAAGGAAAGATGGTAGAAATTATTTTCTTCTGTGACACCAACATATTCAGATGAGATAAAGAGCACCTGGAGGGCTGTCAAATTCACAGGCGGCACGGATGACCGAGTTGCCTTAAAAATCAAGAGCAAACGATGACAGAGAGGGGGAAAGAAGAAAAAGGAAAGAACACACCGATAAAAATCACAGCCATGTCATTATAAAATATTGGAGAGAAAATCATTTGATCTTCCTACAGTTTCAGATTTGCCAGCTGCTCAGCAGATGCTGTTGGAGATTGTTACATCAATAAGACTTCGAAGTTTAAGTTCAACAGCCTGAAGAACATGAAATGATCTTTTCCCCAAAAGATGCAATCACTCTGACTGCAGAATTAACTATACACTCCTCTGTACAGAGGATATCAAAGGGACTGCAAGGCAACAAATGCTATCACTTGCTCTAGAAACAACATATATTCAGAGTAGCTTTTGACTGAATATGCACATTGATGACCAACAAAGTTATGATGAGTGGGAAGGGTTGTAATACGTGCCACACAACTCAGAACCACCACGAAGTTGTTCCTTTACATTGTTTCTCTTCCCTTAAAAGTCCCACCTTGGCGCTCTCTTTACCAGAGCTAGTGCAACATCTCATGTGCATCTTGGGAACTGTTTGGATGTTATAAAGGAAGATACCCCCACAAGGCAAGAAAAACAGCAAGCAAAGAATACAAAGATGGAGGATACAAAATCTAAAGCTTTGAAAACTGAAACACAGGTAGAAGTTGAGTTTACAGAAAGGCTTTGAGCTTAATACAGTAAGTAACGTAGCGCTTAGGCAACAGAATGCTAGCCTTATATATTGAGTCACCCAGTTATTCAGAGAGATATGAAGGAGCTAAGTACAAAAAGCCCAAGCCTGCATTTCTTCAACAACACAACTCTGTGTACAGCAAATGCCACATCAGTAGCTGCTTGGGCCAGTCACAGAGGGCAACAGAGTCACATATATTAAGTTTACTGTATTCCAGATGGATTGATGGTAAGACAGAAAATGAAGTTTTCACAAAAATGCCCTTAGCAAAAGCTAACACCCCTTAAAAATATTGAATGGAGTCTCTATGATAAAAATTAGTAAGCAGCACATTCAAACAATTCAGAGAAGTGTGAAGGGATGACTTGAACCTTTTTCCAAACGCAGGTGGCATCTCTTCTTCTGCTCTTTGGAGATATTTGGGGAAATCATACAATAGGGACCTATCCGGCACTTGTAAGACAATGAACAAATGAGCTCTACGAGAGACCTTCCGATTGCTAACATCTGTGATGTTATCCCACAGAATCATAAAAATTACCATGGTATTTTGACTTCCCTAGAATCTTTGAATATCCAAGATCCATATGGGATTAAAAGCATTAACAAACAGCAGCAAAGAATTTTCTCCTAATATGTCCAGCACTCTTGGAACCATCAGTACCTCCAGAAAATCTGTTCTCAGCAAATATCTAGCATGACACTGCAAACTCAAAAGGTCCAGACAGTCCAAAAAAGCATCAATACATTTGAGGGTTTTTTAAACAAGTCTTCAAATATGGAATCATCATCAAACAACTTCACTGAAATAAACATGAAATCTATGCTGCTACCTGTGCTTGACCCAGCAAAGGATGCAGCACTTAAACCAAGTAAATGATTTTGTAGCACTTCTTATTACTAGTAATTTTACAGTGTCTCAGTTTATTGCATACATAATGGGCAGATGTGTGTTATCATTAAATTGCTCTTAGCAAACATTACCATAACGGTACTTGGCAGATAATAAAATGGAACGTGAAGCCCTATGCTCCACATCAGTATTACCAACCCTGCTGTTCACAAACAGTATGCCACAAAACACAGATAAAGCCTGGTTGCTCAAAAGTTAAACACCCATCTATGAGCAAACCCAGACAGGAAGGGACACTGGTTCCAGCCCCTGGGAGGAAAACCAGAATGGGATATCTGTGACTTGCAACACTAAGCGCAGCTCAGGAAAAGGACTGGAACAAGTTTGTTTTGCTTACCTGGAAAGGACTGAGGGTGTGTCCAGTTCTTAGCAACTAGCTTCTAAGGTTTAAAATCTAAACATCAGTGCCCTTTATTTCAATCCTAAATTGCTGACAGTCTCACACCAACCTGCATTTTCTAATCTTATTAGTGCACATCTCTTAATCAAAGAATGTTCAATCAGGAGAATTAAGTAGGAGAAAGAATCAAAAAGTGGGTGATCAGCATTTGTTTTTCATTGGCCTAATGCTGTTTGATTTTAAAGGCTTTTTTGTTTTGTGACCCTCTTCCTGGGGTGTTGCTCTGTGTAGTTCCTCTCACAGTGTTTAGGTAGAAGGAAAGCACACAGAAAGCCTTCTGAAGCAGCAGAGGAATAGCTCACACCCACCCTTTTGAGCCCATGACATTGTCACTGCAGCTACAGAAAATGGCTAAGCTGAATACCATACATGTTCCCCTCCTCCTGCTTGTTAACATCATGGCTTTGGGGTTCTTTTCAGACAACTGTGTGATTGTAAGGAGATACTGTCTTATCACAGCAGAGAATTACATCATCCTCCGTGAGCCAGATCTCAACTTCCACATCTAACACTTTCACATTAACTGTAATTAACAGGGGGCTGCAGTAGCCTGATTCTGCAACCAAATGAAACAGAAGAAATTAACTACCTAAAAAATGCTGCACTTCACAGCACCCTGCAACCCTTCTTGCTAACAGACTTACGCTCACCTTAAATTCTACTGGCTTAAGTGTGAGAAGCTGTTTCACAAGCAACAGGAGGAATGTACTACCCATTTCATTGGAGGATACTTTTTGTCAGCTCTCACAAAGTCTACCTTGTCTCTGATGAGAGGAAAGCATTTGGAAAGCATTCCCTTGGGCTTTCAGATATTTTATGTCTTTTATTTCAAGCTAACAAGTCACAAAGGTTGACCTGCTGGGACAAGGTACTCTAGAAGAGAGAAGTTGTGCTGCAGCCTCTGTTCTCTGATATTCCTGCTCTCTCTAAAAGCCAAGTATGCAAGAATGACTAAACGCTACCAAGAGTACTGCCTCTAGCTTTTCTTTCCTAATGCCCAATACAATAACCCTCAAGATCTTGTAACCTCAGTACGAATCCTCAATATACACTTACAATGATTACGAATTTCCATCACAAATCCACTCCACTGTGTCTGCCATTCATTTCAGAGAGACCTGAAAACTGACTTTCAGTTTAGGAGTCTTTCTGGATTGATTAAAGCTGGATCTCCACCATATATACTGTAACTGGATACAAAAAGAGTGCAGCAGAGCTTGGGGAGCAGGTGTGCGAAGTTCATTACCACATTCATCTCAGAGATATGCAGACTCAGCTCTACTCAAGGACTTCTGACCAGGAATTCCTGGATCTATTGCCTATCCTGATGTCTCACTCTCTTGTCTCCGCTATTTGCACAGACTCAATCCATGTAAATAAGATTATGAAACTAACCTAGTGGTGGAGCAACACATGCCCAAGGCCCACTGACCAGCATGCACACAACACCGAGTTCCAGCTCTCAGTAACGTCCTGCTGTGGGTACAGCTAGCCCCTCTGCAGAGGGTAAAAACCTCTTTTGTCACTACTGAGACACAAGAACGCTGCTCTGAAAAAAGAGCTCAGATCCTGCAAGTCAAGAGAACTGGGAGTGAGTGCTTGAACCTAGAGAGAGACACTAAGCACCTTGCAGGATCAGACCAATGGATAGCAAAGTGTCTATTCCCCCAAATCAGTGAATATCCCATCTTTGTAAAGCCACAGTAGAGCACCTCAGGCTGCTGCTATCTTCTTTGTGTTCAGTCACACTCATCATAGCAGCGTCTAAGTTATGTGTATGACTTTTATAGCTCTGCTTTATCCAGATGTATCTTCCTTTTCTGCCCTCAACCTTAAGCGCAGATGCAAAGCACTCACTCCTAATATGCTGTCACAAATAAAGACCAAGGGCAAGCATAACTGCAGTGTTGTGGGGAAACAATTCATTTATGGTAGCATTTCTTTTTATCATATCTGTTCAAAACATAATCACACAACAATGGGACAAAACAACTCTTAAGGTTCTGCTTGGGAAATCCTCTCATGTTTTCAAGTATCATCTAATCCACTGTAGTCTACAAGAGAGAACTGCTGAGTTGACAGTGATATAGCCAATACACATGCATCTGGAATTCAGCGCTGGGAAGACCAACACAGGACATAGGTAGGTCTGATGCAAACACTGGATTTTGTTCTGTTGCTCCTGAACACCTTCAGCTTTACATTACTGAGGTCAGAAAATACCACTTACCTCGCTCGCACGTTCTACCCCAATAGCCAGTGCCAGTGCAGTCACAAATGAAGCGATTCCAGCCGTCCTTGCAGACTGCATTATTTTTACATGGGTAGCTGTCGCATTGCTTGGTGCTGAGGCGGGAGCAGGAGGATTTGACTCCTGCTGCATTCTGCGCCTCTGCCAGCTGCCGGATGTTCTTGCTTCGTCCATCAATGAACAAGTCTCGGATACAGCCAACATAGCCATAGTTCAGCATTGCTGTCCAGAGTTCTGTGGGAAGGATGAGTCCTGCCCGATTCTCAGGGAGCCCACCCAGATACATGTCACCTTCCAGATCCAGGATTTCACTCTCCCCACTAGCAGTGAATGGAGTGCGTCTGCTGTTCACTGATATAGTACCTAAGTAAGAAGTATAAGGAGGTATCAGCCACCGCTTTCATTTACAACCTCAGTCAGTTCATTTCTTCCAATAATTGAGTGAGGTTTAAAGTTCAGTGCAAGTGAATGAAGATTCCTCCCTGTCCAAACACCCTCCTAATAGAGCCAGCGCCTCCCACACAGCTTCCCCTTCTCTTGAACGCAGGAAGCATAAAAGCTTCCTTGCAGCGACTGGATCATCGTATGTTGGTAGCCCAATTAACATTATAAGGTCACTAGCGTAATAACGCAATGGCTGAACGATAACATATAAAAATTGAGCATTATTCAATGGCATTCACCCAGCAAAACAAAAACATACTGACAACGTACTGGAATTTGATGGTATCAGGACTGGATAGCAAAAGACAAGTAAAACACTACTAATTCACACTACATAGCTCTAATAGAAAATATTTCATCAGTAACTTTAAAGCTAGACCTGAATGATGGGACCAAAATGGACGTTCATCAAGTTTGTAGATGATGTCAAATTGGGGGGAACGGTTGATACATTGGAGGAAGGACAGGCTACCACTCAAAGAAACCACGACAAGCTGGAGGAGTAGGCTGACAGAAATCTTTTCATCTTCAACGATGATAAACACAAATTCTTGCACCTGGGACAGAATAACCTCATACATCAATACAGGCTGGAGACCAACTGGCTAAGGAGCAACTCTGCAGAAAAGGACCTGAGGATCTGATGAACAACAACTTGAACATGACTCAGCAGTGTATGCTTGCAGCAACAAGAGACTCTGATTGCGATTTGCAGCAAGGGAAATTCCAACTTTAGAGAAAGGAAAATATTTCACCATGAGGGCAGTCAAACACTAGAATAGGAGCTCAGAGAAGCTGCAAAATCACCATCCTTGGAGACATTCAAAACTCAGCTAGACATGGCCCTCAGCAACCTGCTCTAAGTTTGCAGAAAGCCCAGATTTCAGCAAGGTTTGGAGTAAAAAGCTTGAAAGGTTTGTTCCGAAACAAATTATTCTAGGGTTTACAAAGAAAGTTAAGTATCCTCAATTCCATTTTACAAATGGGAAAACCGATGTATAGAAACGTAAAGATCATGCCTGAAGAAGAGCTGTGGTATCTTCCATATGCTGCAAGCAAGGCTATTCACATATACTGCAAGAAATTATCCCAGCACAGAAAGTAATCGGAACACGTAATACAGAAATATAATCAGAACGCATGAAGCAGGTGCAGTGTGATTTAATTTAAGGTCAAGTAGCATACCCAAAGAAAAGCAGGGAACACAGTGCTGGTCTCTGACGTCCCAAAACAGCGTGCTCTTCTGAAGAGCATTCAGCAGGTTTTGTGATAGGGATATCTGCCCACTAGACACTCAGCTAAGAATCAGCAACTCGCCCTCCCTAGCTATAAATCATCACATCCGATTGCCTTGTCACTGAGGTAGTCTGCCTCCAGAAACAACTATCCATGCCTTAAGATTAATTCCAGATCATTGCAGTTTTATTATACATCCCTACGATAACGTGGGGGAGTTCAGTTAACAGAGTAAGCTCTCTTTTGTACCTCTGTAAGAAAGTAGAGTCATGTACATATGCTCTTTTCTTCCTTCAGTTGTAATACGGGTCTTTTCAGATAGAGAACAGCACGTATGACACAGAGACAGGTTATGTCACGTGTATAATGTTCAATAACAACTTAGGAATAACGTCAGAGGCAGCAGAGTGTTGGAAGCAATAGTGGTGTTACAAATTAAAGGCTCAAAGAAAGCCAGGGTTGTTTGATTAATCATTTTGTAAAAATAAGCTGTAGCACTGCAGACATTCTCCCCTTTACATGGTAAGAAAACAGAAGATGTGATAATACACCTACAGTCGTAAAGGCAGAGTGTCAGAGGCACAGGATCACGGCCACTCTTCCTATGTCTCTACTGCCACTCCTCAAAAGCTGAGTTTCGCATGTGGAGCACTCACTACCCAAAAGACCAGAATGAACCAAGATGCAGGAGGGTTGAGCTCCAGACAAGTGGTACTGTAGAGAAAACAAGTACCATCTGCAAAAGCCAGAAGGATGAATAACCTCTTCTCTCCTCCCCTCTCCCTCCCCCCAAAAAAGAGAAGAAATACTACCGAGCCATAGCAAAGTGTAAAACCTGGAAAAAGAAAATGGGCTGGCCATCAGCCTAAACTTCATGCCAGTGTTTTGCAACTATTTCTGTAAAGACATGCTACTAGCTCCAGTGCATAGGATTTATAAGACCAAGCTATTGGGATAGGAAAAATATGAATTAACCCTAGGAAGGAGATCGATGATATGATATCTTTTTTGAATCCTATATTTGTGACACTGTTGAGGCAGACCAAATCCTATCCTGAGAAAATAAAAGCACCTATGTGTCTCCTTTCCAGTCCCTCAGGCACTTCACACAGGGCTAACAACAAACAAACACAGAAAACAAGCAAAAAAACAAAAACCCAGGCATCACTGAAAACAGAGCTGGTATACAAAGGAGTACAACGATGCAACTGTAGAATGAGCCTTCCAGTAAGATTTTTAGTGTCTGAGTGGGTGGGATAACGCATGTGTTTTGTAGCTGTGTTTTGTAACCATCCAAAGTGTTCCCCAGCTAGAAACAGTGACAAGTGTTGTGGACGCTTTGTAGGAGCTTTCCCCAGGGACAGAAAGGTTACAGGATGCTAGGTGTCCATGTCCAAGCTGTCAGCTCCTGTCACAGTATGGAGAAAAAACAGATTTTGTAGCTCTGGCAGCCGGCACAGACCAAAGCATACACAAAGCCCAAGGGGATTAGATTTGCCCGAGGTTATTTCAGCAAGACTGCCACGCTTCCCTAGCATTTGTGCTCCTGTCTTAGTACCTTGCAGGAGTGAATATTTGGATTTTCAGGTTATTTTGCTAAGCTCAGCAGAGCCTGACATTTTGGACTGCTTCAGAAATGGGAAGAAGGAGGGGAGATGACACCTAATAAAGGACTAGACGCTTTAGTAATGACAATCAGGACCGCTAGCTCACTAGCCCATTAAACCCAAACGGCTATTTCGTGGCCTATGTGAAGGGAGTTCATTACTTCAGTTCATTTTAGAGGACAGGCATCCTGGGTGTAACCATTCTCTGGTCTGTACATGGGAGAAAAGCCAAGGACTAAACAAGAAGGGATGCTGACTTCCTTTTCACAGCTACCAAAAGCACCACAGGATAAGAATGGTTGATGCTTGATAAAGGTATGGTGTGGAGAACTCAATGCCAGTATTCTGGTTATCTGGAGAGACAGAAGACATTAGTCACTAGGACCTTTAACCTAGTACTTACCATCAGCAGCAAATTCAGTTGAGAGGGAAAAAAAAGAAAAGAAAAAGAGCGAACACGAGAGAACATGCAAATTTGTTCATTTTTGTTCAACAAAATACATTTAATTCAGAATCCGTTATCTCCAATCACTGTTCAGGCCATCACAAACTTCCTTGCGGGGCAGGAAACAAGATAGTCCTGTGTTCTCCTGCATCGAGTAGCAATGCTGTCAGTCACATCCTCCCCTAGCCAAAACGAACATGCATCCCTCTTGCATCCCTCTTTCCTAGCAAACAGCTTGGTGTCATTTCTGTTTCTGCTTCTGCAGCTTTCTCTCCAGGGACCAGACAGTCCTTAAGTGAGCAAGCAAAAACGAAGACAGTACTGAACACTGCTAATTGAGTTTATCCTTGCAAGTTAATTAAATTTTAGTAATTCTAAAGAAATCAAAGCTCCATTTATTTATTTATGGCTTCCTTTATAAAATGTTTCTGTCGATGTCTTTAGGAGACAGCAATATATAATCATACATTTTAAATCCCGGTAGAGCTCCAGGCCAAATACAAATAAACTTCTCATATCAAAGAAACAACTAGCTTCAGGCAAAGGCCTGTTCAAACAGCTAGGCCTTGCATGGTATCTAAAAGTCAGCTCTTTCAAAAACTCAAGGGAAGCAAATTCCAGCACTGCATGCTCTCCATCAAGAACATTCTGCCACTGGAAACACAAATCTAGGGACTCTGCTGACTTCTGGAGATCACAAACTAAACCCCAAACCTACTTGCAAACATAAGCAAAATTCCCTTTGAAGGGGAAATATGGTCTTGCTTTGAGATCCCAACGCTCTAGGAGGAGTGTGAGTTCAACTGTTCATATATTCACAAGATCGAGTTACATTATTTCATTATTTTGTTTCCTGATGTAGTTTCAGAGTACAACATGGGTATGTCAGCTTGATCTACAGCATTAGAAGCAAAGGAAATACCTTGTGGCAAATGCACGATAGGTACATTATGAAAAATAAACTAAAAAAACATTTTTGAAAATGAGAACCTGTGAAGAAAAAAGGAACGTAACTGAATGCAAACTGAGCTATTTACAAAGAAGTGACCACTATAAAAATGTACACAATTGCTGAGATTAGTCCAGAATACCTGAATATTAAGAGTAAAATGTTAATAGATTGTCTCTGTAATGTGCTATCCAAAGTTCACACTAAACACCTCATAAAAACCTATCAAACCATTTAAATGTTTGTTTTGCTGGGTAAATATCACTGAAGTAACACTAAGTTTTTTTAAGAAAGTTAGAGAAGAACTTTTAGCAGGTTGTGAAGGCCTCTAAGAAACAACATATGACTCTAGACATAAGAGATGAACCTACTTAAGAAAGGATCATTACTCTACCTGATCTTCCATCTCGTTGAATATCCACATGATACCACTCTCCATCATTGGCTTTCTTCTGGGTGGCCTTCACTTTAATGGTACCAGAGCCCATATCCAGCAGCAAATAAAGGTTCCCGTCTAGAAGCTCCACTGCAAAGAAGTCTACCTTTGTATTTTTCTGGCTCCTGGCATCTTTCCTCTCCTGGGGCTTTCCATGGGTGAAAAGGATCAGTCCATTGGGTTCAGTGGTTCGGAAATCAAAGGAGATGGAACCCATCCTTTTGGTATTCCATTTAGGCAGACTGATATAGGCCTCAGGCGTCTCAAAACTGATGGGATCCAATGTAGCCACGTTCTCGCATACAAATTTCACTTCTCCATAGATCTTCATCTTAGTATCACCAATCCGTGCCAAGCGAGACAGCTCCAGACGAATGTCGTTATTCTTATAAACAACCTGCCAGACACAAAGGAAAATATCATACATCAAACCTGCATACAGTACAAATACCCCAATTACTTTCAGCTATGGGAGGTAAACTTCTCAAAAGGCAGTCGGGAGCAGAAAGGAGACCATGCAAGAGACTGATGTGATGACAGAAGGAGAAGGCTGAACCAGGAGCACACACAGAAATGACTGCAATGGGTACTCTGCGAAAACTATAGATCAGAAAAGTAGGTGGAAGAGAACATTTACTGAAGGACAGTGAGAACAGTTTACCACAGGCCCACTATGCTATAAAAGCTTTTGTACATAAAATATATTGTGTGTCTGTATGGTGTCTATATTGTATGTAGCACAAACTACATACAAATACATAACAAAGTGTAACCTCCATGTCCATCTCTGCTAGCCACAGCAGGGAACTCTTTACCACCACTGTCATTTCTCTATTATTCCTATAATCCTACTTAACTACTAGAACAGACACGCAAAATATTGTAAGCAATTGCTATGAACTGTTGGTAATTGTCCTATGGACCCTAAAAAGCTACAAGACAAAATAAAGAAAGACTTACATTTCCTCTCTTCAAGAAATCTTAAAACTCTACAGTCACAAACCTGCTATGGGTATACCTGCATAACTTCAAAAAAAGCTAAGCCATGTCAACACATAAAAGCCTCTACGCAATCACACATTCAGTGCCTGGACTCTTATGCTCTCCGGATTAAGGACCAGAACTCTCGACACCACCTGCCCAGAGGCAGGGACTAGAGAAAGTACAGAGCTGAAATACTTGCAAACAGTACTTCTTCTCAGCCACCTTCCATGTTTCCTAAGCTCAGCACCAGCACATAGATCAAGTAAGAGTATTTCTGCAAAGAGTAGAATTTTGACTGACTTCATGTTTTGCAACACTAGTCAAGACTCTAATTTCTTCTAAGGGGTTATTATTTTAAAATACTTTGTGTCTATTACATCTGGCATACACGCACACACAAATTTGATTTCTTCTTCGTTCAAAATGCCAGCAGAATGAGTTGTCAGCAATTTACTATGAAAAGGGAAGGGGAAGGATTGTTAAGGAGAGGAATATGGATTTTTAATTCTACAAATATCATCTCATCTGGTGTATGGACAGGCTTAAAAAACATACAGATGTAACGTTTGAAGATACATTTGTACTACCCAATCTCATGGGCACTGTATGAACAAATAGATAGTATTTCTTCATTGGCATTCTATAGGCTACAATCCCACCATCAAATTGAGCACAAGTAAATCGGAGAAGGCCCCTTCCAGAATCAGACAGACATACATAATCCCAGTAGTAACTAGCAGAAATAAACTATGGAACACCACCTTAGCTTGCAGGGCAGCAAAGTCCAAGAAATGAATCTGTAATAAATTTTAAAAGGCAAACGACGGAAAGGATGGGGAATAAGATTCTAAAGTAGTAACCTAGGGATGAAAGAAAAAAGAAATCCAACAATTCAGCACATTCACCATGAGTTAGGAATTCCCAGCTTTCGCTAAGCGTTCAAGGAGAAGTTATCCATAGCAGACAGCACAGCATCAGATCTTCCTACTCCAAAGGCAAAAAAAAAAATATCCAGAGCAAAAGGAGAACCCAGCTGCGAACTTCCATTTGGAGTCACAACACAAAGTGGTAATTCCTCCCACCAAAGGACAGTACTGACCCACAATAGCTTGTTTTGCTCCAGTTCCCATTAAAACACCCTCCCTCCCACAAACTTCAAAAATAGCAAAGATATTAGTATCTGCAACAGCAATAAAATATAATTTCAACTTCTGGAACTGTAGTGGTTTTATTCTGTGGATTAACCACATCTAAAAGTTCTGGCTAGGCAGACCATACACCCCCTTCCAGGACTCAGCAAGACTGTCCATTTCAGCCTCTCTCTCTTGCCAGACAGCTAGGGGCATCTCAGCCGGTCAGCACAGGTAAGCCACAGCTACACCCTTACCCAAAAGAGGCACATGTAGGGAGTGTCAGATGTACTGTGGGCACATATAGCAGCTATGGTGATTTGGACTGCCTGGGACCTCTATACATACTTTGTGCATGCAGCAAGTCCCAGCACTTTCCATAAACACTAGTCAGGAGCCCTGTGTGCACTTCCAGTCCCTGCATCTCAGGGAAACACAGTAGAGGTGACAATACAGAGGAAAATAAATAGAATAACTAAGAGGACGGAGCAGCTGTTTTATGAGAAAAGACCGTAAAGGTCAGGGCTCTTCAATTTGGAGAGGAGAGGATTGAGAAAGAATATGAACAAAGTTTACAATATCATGAAGATGATGGAGAAGGTGAATATAGAACTGCTCTCTGCCAAATCCAGCAATAGTAGAACTAGAGGCGTTCATTGAAACTTGTTGGGTATCCTTTTAAAACAGATTTTTAAAAGTACTTGTTTACAAAAGGGGTAGTGAACTTCTGGAACTTGCTGCCACAGGACATCACGGAGGCAGAGAGCATCAGCAGGTTCAAAAAAGCAGCAAAGAATTTCATAGACAGCAGGTCCACAAACAGATATTAGAGGGAATAGGAAGGGATGGACCCTCTAATAACTCTAACCCAATGTCAGTGGATGCCACAGGAGCATGAGGAGAACGTACCACTGAGAGCAGTCATGTTCACATGCTTTCCCTCAATAACACTTCCTATTGCCACTGTTGGAGGCGGCAGAATACAAGGTAGATGGACTATTCTTCAGACCCAACAAGGCATTTCTCATGTTCTTAATGAATCTCTGTGTGTAGTAGGTTGCGCACAGCCTACTCCTTGCTCCACTGCAAGGACAGACTGGGAAAAGGATAACTGGAAGTGGGTTGCTGTGGTCAGAGTCCTTCTGACACCAAGCCTCCCAGCATTCCTTTTTGAGGCACCACTCAAACCCAGGCAGAGAATGGATGCAAAATGAATCATACTTGGCAGCATTTCTGACTGCTAACTTCTCCCTCATATTCGTACCCTCTAGAGAGGATGTCATCTGAAGCAGCAACCCAAACAATTCATGTGGCCAGCATCCTGCTGTTACGAGGTTCCAAGAAAAGATCTCCTCCCAGAACTGTCTAAAATTGGTCTGACGGGTACAAGCAGTCTGTAGACTGCTTGTAGACAGGTACTGCTGTTTGTAGCCTGAGCTTCAGATGATACTTTTCTAAATCTGGAATTTCATAGTTCTGTCACAAGCTCAACACTTCCTCTTTATAGCAGCTTTTTTAGGTAGGGTCTATGTCATTGAGACGTAACAGTGTGGAGTGAAACTATACTACTAACCTCAATGACGTGTAAATGTGCTAACATATATATTACATGTTTACAGCATAAAATGACATCTGCTTCTGTTTATTCATTTAGACTAAACGTCAAAGGAAAAATAAAATTGTTAACTATTTCATCGCTTCATGAGACATACAGGAAAACAAAAAGAATTGTTCTGTTTGAACATGGGAGTATGGGATTCTCAAATTCTCTCGTATTTCATTAGATTCTAATGGAGAATTGACATGTATGACATTATGAGTAAAAAGAGAAAAGAAAAACTCAAAGTATCAGATTAGGGCAGGAATTTTGGTTCTGGCTAAAATTTGTTTTGGTTGCGATTGTGCAAAACCACTTAAATATCAGCCAGAAAAAAAAAACCTCTTGAGTTTTTGAGAGAAAAGTTCACTAAATTCAACACCTTTAGCAGAGAGCCAGAGCAGATTCCAAACCCTGTTTCCTGGAACTCCAGATAAACAAGATTTGACATTTCTTGATGTTTTTAAGATAAAGATCTAACAAAGGAAAAAGGATTAAAGCAGAATCAGCTTCCAGACCATATTTCTATGATACTAAGGGAAAACAAAAAGCCAAAAAACAGCCAGGGCCTAACAACTCATCCTGTCCCTTTTGCAGCAATCTTGAAGCTCAAAGCAAATGAAAGGCGAGCTTGCAAAGAAATCCACTTGCATATAGGACTCCCTGACTAGCATGAATTTGGTGCAACTGGATTTTTGGTTTCACCTCAGCACTGAGTTGCTTTGGTGGGCAAGAGCCTGAATATATTGCGACTCTGATGATCCAGTTTGCCGTGGCAGGCCTGCCCTAGAAGGATGCTACTAACAGTTCTTCAGACTATTATAGTTCTTCAGATTATTCCCGACACTTTTCTAAACAGTATCAGGAAAATCTCGCCCCAGCTTCCTCCATGTATGAGAGGAACAGAAACACAGCACAGTAACTATATATGATGGTCGGTGCTAGGTTGCATCTTAGCTATGGCTCAGTGAAGTACTTTTGATAAGCTCTGGAGGTTGCTGGTAGAAGGAACACACTCCCACATACATAAGCAGCTTCCAGCTCTTAGTTGAGCCATATACAGGTTGCACCTCCTCACTTCACATGCTTGATACTGGCCTAACTCCCTGTCTCTTCTGGTGATAGGCACAGTGTCCATCTTTGGGTTTGTCTGGAGTTTGATGAATTTCATTAGTGGTACATATACCACAGCTGGAGAATCCCTGAGATAAGAAATTCTCAAAGAATCTAGAAAAAATTATGCAGTTAGTTGCAACCCAGAAATCCACTAAAAATTGGGGATCTGAGAGCAAGTTTGGAAGAAAAGACAAACAAATCAAGGACAAAGGAAGGCTTAGGGGCGAGAGGAAAAGGGATATTGAATAGATATAAGAGTTCTGAATCCAATCTTTACAAAGAAATAGATCACTCAAATCTGAAATCTCTATTATTGAAGTCTGATGTTCTAGATTATATTCTTAAAAAAAAAAAAACCACCACCAACAACAAAACCCACAACCATAGCCCGAGAAATTTAAAATATAGTTCTGTTTAAGGAATAAGTGCAAACAGGTTCACATGGCTGATCTGAGGCCTCATTAATGGCCATATTTGGAAAACTGAGGCTGTGGCTCAAAAAATGCAATGCAGAGCACCACGTAAGTGCTGGCGGTCTCAGTGTAGAACACCAAGATCTTGATGGACGAT